TAGTTGCAATATCATTACAATATCATTACAATATTTTAATAAATATTTTGCAAAATTTTACAATATTGTTACAATATCGTTGCAATATTGTTACTATATTAAAATTTTTAAAATATCAAGACTATATCAAAACTATATCATAGCTATATTGTGGCTATATTGTTTTAACCTTTTCTCATAAGTTTCTCATAACAATATTTTAAAAAATTCAAAGTTTCTGCAATGTAGCTAACACGTGCCGTGAAGTAGCACGTATCAGACAATCATTTGTCCAGTTGAGTCAAATTGTCATATTCAACAATTTGCTCAATAATGGTGTTATTCAGCAATTTATGATTATGGCCCCAATTCTCCCCCTATAAATACAAATTTAATTTAAAAAAAAAGATAGTAGATCAATATAAAATAGATCTTTTTATTAAAAGTGAAAAAATTTTTTAAGTGTTCTTGATTTTTTTAAAATATATCTTTGATTTGTTGTTGCCAAAAGTCCAAGGTGTTTCTTCTAGAAGTTCAAAGCTATCATTATTGAAGCTAGTAGTTGCTATTATTAGGGTTCTAGGTTGCTAGTTTCAGAATTTAAAGTCGCTAGTTACATTACTGTGCTAGATGATAATAATTACTAGAAGCCTTAAAGTTGTAAATTTTTCTTGATCACACTTTAAACCTTTAAAGCAACCAAAAAAAAGTTAAAATAAACAAATTTAAAGCAAAAAAAAACCAAAAAAAAAATAAATAAATAAAAAAGCAAAAAAAAACAAATAAACTTTATTGTAAGGTTTTTTAAAATGTCCAAAAAGAAGTCTTTACTAGCATCTACAAACTCTAGTAAAGCAAAGCAGGTTAAATATGCTGAACTGCCTGTTGACAAATTAAAAACACTTAGAGAGAATTCAAAGATCAAGGCCACTTATAAAGCAACAGACCAGTGGATTAAAGCATTAGAGGAGTTTTGCTCTGAAGTAGAGTACAAAGGCAAAATTGAACAAGTGGATTCAAAAAAGGTCTTGGAAGACTAATTATTAAAGTTTGTGTGTGTAATAAAATGGCAAGATGGGCAAGAATACTGTGTAATCTCAATAAGGTGTTGTTTGCAGCTATTTGGTAACATCTTAACCAGCATTCTGTTATAGAAAAGCTAGTTGACATATTAAACCCCAAGGTATACTTTGATCTGAATCAAATAATTAACAGATAGTTGAAGAACCTTTTAGTGAAAGGTCTAGGCAAATATTTCAGGGCAGATAGTTTGATGTTGAAAGAGGTTAAGTATATACTCAATCATCCAAGAATGCAGCATAATAATCCAGAAGGATTGTTATAATAAATTTTTTTTTATAATTCTATCTTGTTGGCATTGGGACAAGCATCATGATCTTCAAAGTAGAAGTTTTATCAAACAATTTGATAGAGGTATTGATGTTAAGTTATACTGGTCAAAAACAAACTTGCAAGGACTTGAGAACTATAACATATAAGCAGAAGCATTTAGCTTGCCTAATATCAAAAGTGTTATTAGTAATTATGAATTCTATTTTATCAAGCACTAGTAACATCTGTAATAAATTTCTACTTAAAACTATGTTAGCAAATTCTGGCAAGTAGTTTTTTTTTTGTATGATCAAGATCTTAATATAAAGCATATATATGTTCTAATATTTTTTATTTTTTTAAGCTGAATTCTGTAGACAATAGTTTTATAAATGTGCAATAGGTGAATAAACATTAAGAGAATACTTTCAGGCTATATGTAAAACTACTAATATTAAAATCAGAATCTGAAGTATATCAAATCATTCAAAAAGAAAGACGGCAGTACAGGTGTTGAAAAAGCTTAGTTATTCGGATACCATCATTATGTTAATCACATGGCACAAGTCACAGAAAGGCTTGGCCATATATGAAAGACCCAAATTAATAATGCAGCAAGAAGATCTAACTGGTCTTTTTAATGCATTGATACAAATTTCTGGTGGTTCATCAAAGGATAAATTTGAATATTTAATTTATTTAAATATTTAATATTTGATTAATTTAGATTTCTTTTTTTATAAAGCTTTTGCTGAAGACAATTATGCCCTGAATAACAATATTGTTGCCAAAAGTGATATTGACATTCCAAGTGACTGTGGTGCCCCCAATAACTTTGGTGCTACTAAAGAGCATGGTGCCCTAAAGACTGTAGTGCTCTCAGTAATTAGTGACTTTGCTCTTGCAAGTTCACATCTTTATGAAAAAAGTGAGACGTATAAGCACGTGTTTCTATGGAAAGACACAATCAAGTGTGGAATGATCGGATATCTGGAATTGTATGTCTGTGATCTGTGTTGGCACTTTGAATTGGTCCAAATTGGACTGTTTAACCAGACATTTTGAACTGTAAATAGACCGGGTATTGCTGCACTTTACTAAGCCAAAATTCATGGGTTTTGGCACGGGTCGAGGCACACATAAGTTCACATGCATATATTTCTTATGAGTTATAAGCAAGAGTTAATTTGATTTAGTTAGAGTATGATATAATAGTGAAGAAATGGTAACAGACATGTCTATAGTAAAATTTTGCAAGGAATTTTTTTTGTTAGGAATTAAAGAACTTTTTTATAGACGAGATTTTGAGATACAGACAATTTTTTAAAAAAAGTCGTTTGTTTTGAATTTTTACATTACACCTGATCCTGTGATTTTATTGGTCATACAAGATGCACATGCCATTTAATACATGTAATTCCAGTAAATAGCAGGGTTGGCACATTTGTCCATTGGCACCAATAGACCTCTGGTCTATTGACCAGACCCATTGGTTCCATTGAAAAATTACAATTCCAACAGACCAATGGACCAATAGATTGAATATATAATAATAATTTAAATATAGTAAATTAATTTCATCTAATATATAAAGCTATACAAAATTTAGTAATCAGTTTTTATAACCTTTAAATTTTTTTTTACCCATCAATCCAGATTTTTTTATTTATTAAAAAATTTTATATTACAGTAATTCGAATTATTAGATAAATCTGAATTAGTCGGATTGCGAATCAAAGTGCTAATTTAATTATTTAACCATTTATTAACTGTTTGACTAACAATAGTATATAAAATTATATATTTAACTGGGTATAAAGATGGTTAATTAATCTAAATACTTAAAAAATACTTCTTTTTATTTTATTTGCATTAATTTATTTATAGTGATTATAGTTAATTAATGTTAACTTAAAATAAGCTATTCAAGTCTATTATTATTCGCATTAATTTAATTTAGATGGTAAGCATACAAAATTTATTTATGCATCACATGTGAAATAACTATTATATAAAGGTTACACATTGCAATAAAGATAATATACATGTAATATAGTGTCAGACATGTGATTCTGACATACTGTGAAAATGTTTATTAAAACTTTTATTTATTTAACTATGTAATACCCAGATTACATATCATCTTTAATGTCAATCTTAGAAGTTATAATAGTACAAGCTTTCTATTTGATGGCAGTGGTGGTAATAAATATGAATGAGTAGCTATTTAATAAACAATATAAATTAAATATAATAATGCATATTTAGCAATAAGATAAATAAAGGTTTACTTATAATATGTAATATTTAATCATCTTATAAAAATAATAAACTAATAAATGGTCAATGGACCAATGGATCAATGGATTATAACATTGGTCCATTGAGCTCCATTGGCAAATCTATTTTTAATAAACATAGCCCATTGCCAACCCTGGCTAACGGGCCTATATGTGCCACCTAATGCACGAGCAAATAATGTAAAACCTAATATACGTGCCATTCTGTTCATTTTGGTTTGTGTTTCATGCCCTTACGTGCCACATGACACGTGCCTATCCAGACAACTCTGTGCCAACCAACACCCAGACCACTTTTCTCATAGGGCATTTGCAAAAGGCTGATTCGCAAGTGTCATTGTTAAATGCACTTTTTGACCTTGAAGTATCTGGTTCAAATCGAAGTGATGGGTTGTCAAGTGATGCGTTGGCTGAGCTTGATCAAAATATTCCTCAAAAGCTAGCAAAAAAAGATCGAATTAAAGATCTTAAGGAAGACCGTAAAGAATTATCAAATAAAGAATTTGTCAAAAAATTTCTTAGTGGTAATACATTTAATAATTGCACATTTGATTTTTAATTGCTAGAATTGAAATGCAAAGCTTGGTAAAAAAAATTAACCGTTTCAAAATGTAAACATTTGATTTATTGATTTATTTCTTTGAGAACTTCGTATAATTTAGATTCAGAATTTGTGGTTTCTGGCCAAGATCTTGAATTTTTAAAAAATTCTGATCAGAATTTGTGTTTCACGGCCCAAGATTTGGAATTTTAAAAAAATTCTGACCGGAATTTGCCTCCCGGCCCAATATCTGGTATTTTAAAAAATTCCGACCAAAATTTAAGCTTTCTGGCCCAATATTCAGTATTTTAAAATAAATATTTTGTTATTTGGCATTGTATTGCAATACGCAAAAAAATAACAGTACAATGCTGCGCCATGATCATATGAGTTTGCAGGATAATATATAGTTATTGCATACGAAGTATGCAATAACGGTTTTATTTTATGCTTTACTATCTCAGATTTATGAAATAGTTCAATTATTTTATCATTTAAAAATACCATAAAATAATTGATTTATTTTATAAACTGATCATAGTGAAGTATTAAATAATATAAATTTATCCGCATATATTTCAATATCAGTGTGTTTCACGTTAATTCTAAGTCTATAAAACCTTGCTACTATAAAAATTTTCTATAAAGCACTTGTAACATACTCTAACACACATAGTATCGCCAGCAAATTCAGGTAGTTTAAATTCATTCAAAATAATATTTATATTAGCAATATGAAAATTTTCTTTTGAATATCACATTTTATAAACTGAGGCTACTCATTTTACTAATCCTTATCCTTGTCTGTCTTGTCGAATGACGAAACCCTTATTATATTTCTAAAAGATCTTATTACTAATACAGTAAAATTCGCTAACTTTGTTTTATTACAAAGGTCAAAAAAATTTCAAAATATTAATCTGTAAACTTAATACAGGATTACGTAGAATTAATAAATGATCAAATTTAATAAATTCCTAAAACTAATATATGTAAAGACGTGGGAAAAGTTTATATCAATTTAAATAATAAAAGCTAAAGATGATATTGAATCCAAGTTACATCTCATATTTAAAAAGTCGAACTTAAATGTAAATACATTCTTAATAATCATATTTTTAAAAATGTTCAAATTTATATGTAATAGTTTCAATAATTAGTGTGACCAAATTATTTCTTTGAATAACTCCAACAAATAAATAAAAAAATCTTGAATTGAAAAATCGCCAAGTTTCATAGTAATTGAAACAATACTCAAGCCTAGATCAAAATTTAAGCAGTGACTACGTGCATGATTTTGGTGGCGATGCTAGGTAGTTTACATACTCTGACAATATGAATTTCGATTTAGGTCATCAGCAAAAAAATGCGTCATATAACAATTATAATTACACATTTCTTAACTTAATACCATCATATCAAGATCGCACATTTTTGAATCTATTATATGAATACAGCAATAATTAATTATTAGAATGAAACAATAAATGAATAATTATATAACATTTCTAACAAATTTCTAAAATTACCTCTAAATTTAGCTGATTCATACGCTAGTTTAATTTCTTTAGTTTTTATTGGTTTACTAATATATCGAGCTTTGGTAATTCAGTAAAGTAATTTGCATTGTTTTGATCTCGTCATTAGCAGAAATAAAACTTCTTTTAATATTAGATTCTTCACAAGTTATTGAATAATTCATCACAATTAAGCGCCATTCTGAAAGTTTTGAACTAATATCTTTAGCATTAGGTCGGTTATGTGGATTGGAATCCATACATTGATTAGCTAATTCAATATAACATTCAGGTGTTCTTTTAGAAAATTCAGGTCGTAGTCCATTACAAATATTCACAGAAAGTCCAGAGTCGAATGGAGAATCACAAAAAGGTCTTTTTCCAGTTGACAATTCTGTCATGATAACACCTAGACTATATATATCAGCTGCTGGTGTATATTCTTCACCTAATAAAATTTCCGGTGCAATATATGGTATAACTCCATAGATTTCGCCTTTTGAAGTTGATTCTTTTAGATTCTTAGATAATCCTAGATCGGTGATAAAAGACTTTGTAAAGATACTTTTATATTGATTTAGCAAAATATTTCCACTATGGAAATCACAATGAACATAACTGATTCATGGACCCTTGCCAAATCATTTGATATATCTATAAGATACATCAATTTGCTTTCCCAATCGAGTTCTTTAAAATTTGACGTTAAAAAATCGTACATATTTCCCTTATTGGCATACTGAAATACCATATATGTCTGAGATCCTAGATCTTGTGTTATTCCATAAATCTCAAGCCCAATACCATTCCATCTACATTGAACATGATTTTCGAACTTGTTAAATCAGACATATAATTATTATTATTAGAAAAATTGAGCAGATATAATAGCTGATAGATATTTTTTTATGCTTTGTAAAATGTTGTGATGTTGTAATTTGTGGATTTCAAATAATTAAGGTTTAAGTAATCTACATGTATACTCTGCAATAAAAAAACTGAGCAACTTGTTGTTTATTAGAAACCTACAAAAATACCAGTCAGTTTTTTTAAAATTTGTCATAATAGTGAGTCGAAATATTCGTAATTTAATAAGTAGTAAAGTAGTTTAATAAATTTAAAAAATTAATTACTCTTAAAGTTACTGACCGCTTTTGAAAAATCTCTTCATAAATAGATTTAACGATCTAAAAAACTAAATAATACCTAATTATCAAGTATAGACTACTTAAACCGTATAGTATTTGAATCTGAAATTTCTCACAATTATCACAAAAATTGTGCACACTTTTTTGCAAAGCACTAAAACAAAACATAAACTTACTTCTTTTAAAGTGCTAAGAGTTTTAAGTGCGACTTTGCATGATTGTTCACGTGTTTGTAAACTACTTTTAATTATTGGCTTGCCATCTAGCCAAATTGCGGAATATATCGTGCCAAATCCACCTTTACCAATAATTTGAAGGTCAATTAGTCTATCAAATGGAATCTATTCAATCAAATTTTCATATTTTGTAGTTTTGATCTGAAGCTCCTTTACTTTGTCATCAATCTCTTTATTTCCACTTGTCCATCCTTGGCGCATTCTTTGCGGATCACATAACTGACACCAAGCTTTTGAAGCGGTATACAGTCCACAATTTGCACATTCATCTAAAAATTTACATTTTATCAAATCGTTATTTGATTCTTCATATCTACTCATCATGCAATAAGTTGCTCCACGGTTTCTTAATGCAAATATATTATTCTGTTCTATTTCTAATGATTTATTTAAATCTTCAAGTGATTCTTTGTACATATTCATCATGCGATAGGTTGCTCCACGGTTTCTTAATGCAAAGGCATTATTTGGTTCAATTTCTAATGATTTATTTAAATCTGAAAGTGATTCTTCATATCTATTCATTATTCGATAGGATATTCCACGACTTCTTAGTGCAAATGCATTATTTGGTTCAATTTTTAAAGATTTACTTAAATCTGCAAGTGATTCTTCATATCTATTCATCATGCGATGAATTTCTCCACGAATTCTACATTAATTAGTTCAATTTCTAATACTTTTTCACAAATTTTTAATGCTTCGGCATTATTTGGTTTTATTTCTAATGAATTGTTTAAATCTGCAAGCGATTCTTCATATCTACTCATCATGCGATAAGTGTTTCCACGAGCTCTTAATGCTTTTGCATTATTTGGTTCAATTTCTAATGATTTATTTAAATCTGCAAGTGATTCTTCATATCTAATTATCATGTAATAAGTGTTTCCACGAGCTTTTAATGCTTTTGCATTATTTGGTTCAATTTCTAATGATTTATTTAAATCTGCAAGTGATTCTTCATATCTATTCATCAAATAATATGTTACTCCACGACTTCTTAATGCAAATGCATTATTTGGTTCAAATTCTAATGATTTATTTAAATCAGCAAGTGATTCTTTATCGCTGCTTAGCTTATAATATGTTCTCCCACGATTTCTTAATGCAAATACATCATTTGGCTCAATTTCTAATGATTTATTTAAATCTGCAAGTGATTTTTTATATCTATTCATCTTACGAAAGTTGCTCCGCGGTATCTTAATGTAAATGCATCATTTGGCTTAATTTCTAATGATTTATTTAAATCTGCAAGTGATTTTTCATATCTATTCATCAAGTTATAAGTTGCACCACGAATTTTTAATGCTTCTGCATTATTTGGTTCAATTTCTAATGATTTATTTAAATCTGTAAGTGATTTTTCATATCTATTCATCGTGTGATAAGTTTCACCACGATTTTTTAATGCTTTTGCATAATTTGGTTTAATTTCTAATGACTTATTTAAATCTGCAAGTGATTCTTCATATCTATTCATTATACGAAAAATATCCCCACGAAATCTTAATGCTTCTGCATCATTTGGTTCAATTTCTAATGATTTATTAAAATCCGCAAGTGATTCTTCATATTTATTCATTATGTGATAAGTTTCACCACGAATTCTTAATGCTTCTGCATTATTTGGCTCAATTTCTAACAAATTATTTAGATCTACTAATGATTTTTTATATCTATTCATCATTTGGTAAGTTTCTCCACGGTTTTTTAATGCTTCTGTATTATTTGGTTCAATTTTTAATGATTTATTTAAGTCTGTCAATGATTGTTTATATCTATTCGTCACGCGATAAATTGCTCCACGGTATCTTAATGCTTCTGCATTATTTGGTTTAATCTTTAATGATTTATTTAAATCTTTGAGTGATTCTTTGTATCTATTCATCATACGATATGTTTCTCCACGTTCACTTAATGTTAATGCATTATTTGGTTCAATTTCTAATGATTTATTTAAATCTGTAAGTGATTCTTTATATCTACTTATCTTGCGATAAATTGCTCCACGATTTCTTAAAGCAAATGCATCATTTGGCTCAATCTCTAATGATTTGTTTAAATTTGCTAATGATTCTTCGCATCTGTTCATCATATGATAAGCTGCACCATCGTCTATTGATGCAAATGCAATATTTTGTTTAATTTCTAATAATTTTTAATACATAAATACATTTGAATTAATATAAATTTGCAAAAGATTTAAAAAGATTTTCGTAAGTTAACTACATATACAGTCCCTTAATTATTCCTATTTATAAAAGTCCCGACATCGAAATCTTGCCTGGAAAAACGTGACAGTTCATAATTTTACAGCTAAAATCCTGCCAGTTTTTTTTTTAACTTCAATTGTATCAGAGAGCATAACTATTTTAAATTTGAAAGTTTTTAATCCTGACGAATTATGATTTAGATAATCATGATAAAACTGCTAAAATTATGATTTATGACTACGTGGGAGTCGGGACAGTTTTTGTGACCATGTATAAGAAACCGTAAATCGATTAATGAATTTCATAATCCGGAAAAAATTGATCATATTTAAGATACGCATACAGCTAGTTGATCTAGTCGTTTAGATCACACAATGGAATCAAAGACTTTATATGATGGGAGTAAAGTTTATAATACAGTAATAAACGTAATAATTAAAAGCGGTGTTATCAAATAACTAGAATAGATGGGATATGGTGAATATTCATCAATCAATTTACAGGCTTTCTCCTGTTGTCATTTGGAGTTGAGTCGTGTAACGATTACTATACCTGATGCTTCACCCATTTACAATATAAATGCAACTGTTAACGTTAAAGAGAAGACAATACAGCTCATCTTAGAGTTTATTGTACGTACGTACGTACGTATTAAAATATTAAAATTTCCTATTTTACAAATTGCTACCATATGACGTGATGCGATGATCAACTAATATAAAAAAGAGTTCATTACACACATATAAATATAATTCATTATTATTTTAGTTGTGTAATTTGTTACAAGAATAATTGGTCATACCCCAGTGGCAAATGGGAGGGGTCATTACTTGATCCCAAATTTAATAAAAATTAGAACTACAATTACTTATTGATTTAATTTACGTATGTTATATTAATTGATATTAAAAGAAAAAAAAATTGCCTTTGAATGTTTAATTTAAATAAACCTTTCTTCCTTTTCCTTGTTAATTATTAAAAATGGAGTTCCTGGCGCATGAAACCTTTGATCAAATATTAGAATCTTTTATTCATTAAATGAAAACTTAATGGATCAAATAAATATAATAGGGGGTTTTAAAGTTAAAATCAGAGAATCTCATTTTATTTTTCCGTTTTATAATTCAACATAGTAAAAATACTATTGAAAAAATCCTATTTATTTTCGAAATGCGTCACTTATTTGTTAACTTTGAAACCCCCTAATCAATGTTTAACTGTACTTAAAAATCCAAAGCCCAAATTTTTAATATTGGTATGATTGAAGAACTTCATATAATTAAGCCAGCTGAAAATAACTTGGGCCGCAAGTTTGTCCTATTGAAAATTTTTATGAGATAATTTATGCCACTAACCAAGCAACAGAACATGCTGGTCAAGACAAAACCTGGCTAAAGTTTTTTTTTGGTTTTAATTGTTTTATAATACATATATTTACTTTACGGTAATTTCAAAAGTACATGTAAAATTACGAATCTTGTAAAATTTAGCTTTTAAAGTGAATCCATTTTAATATTATGTTTGGGAAAGCATTATTATTATTCGTTTTTATGTTAATATATGTTACAGGTAGAATAAAT